GCCATGAAACCATTCCCACCAGGGAGCAGGGCCAGGTTGCTGGCCCTTCTCCAGACTGGAGAATCTTTTCCTCTTTCCCTCTACTCCTTCACTGCCATCGCATGGTCATCTCTTGCCTCCCTCTTCTCAAGGATACATCAAAGTCTGTTTAGTGAGTTTAAAGATTGTAAGCAGTTTCTATGCCAGCCCTTCAAGTGCTCTGAGGCCCCAGGGATCACGGAGGAGCTGGCTCTCTAATCAGAATAGGAGAAGGAAAAACACTACAGCAAGACACAAATTGATACCAAATCAATTGTCCTGGTATACTGCTAATGAAGAGAATGAATAAGGCATCGATCATTAATAACACTTGACAGTAAAAACATAGATGTGTAGAAGCAAACAGAATGCTACATATACCTCCTCTCGCCCCTAACACACGAAAGCCCCAAATTCTTAGCCCACCCCCTCCCATGAACCTGAGATGGGACATAGGTGCCTCATCACCCAGGCAGTATTCCTCACATTTCAGATCCCTGCCTCCGAATCTCACTGGGTAATTTTTATAATGTAGCTTCCTAGGACACACCATGGACCTATTTATTCAAAATCCCGGGGCCTGGAAATCTGCATTTTAACAAGCTCTTCTGGGTGATTCTCATTTGTTGACTAAAGCATAGGAAGAAAGACACTTTTGAGAAGTGCTCAGCACTGGAAGAGATTTGGACAATGAAAGCAAACGCTGGCAGCAAAGCAGGCTGGAGTTCGTAGGATATGCAGGGAGGGAGATCATTCGTGAAATATTGACACCGTATGTGAAGATCCAAGAATTACACAGAACCTTCCTCTTGAACCTAGAGGAGACACCAGAACTGAATTACTCCCATGGCAAAGTGGTTGCCAGGGAAGGATCTGGAAGCAGGCTCATGTTTAATTCTCACCATGGACTCTATCTGAGAATTGGGTTTCAGTTATATACTTCATTTGTATTAAAACATAAATATGCAAAATGTCAGACTTACCTCAACCATCTCAGGAGTTTCTATTTGAGGGAAACACTTTATATGTTTGTTTTCATGTCCTTTGCACTTGCATGAACCTGAGATCCCAATGCCCTTGATGTCTCTTCCTTTACATCCCCCAGGTGCTGGGTTTTCAAAGGTGGCACAAGATGGCTTGTGAGCTCCTGAGTCAGTCAGTGTCAGCATGAAGGCTGCCGTCACTTTATTTTTCAGACACAGAAACTTAAATTCCAATTTAAACTGCATTGTCCTAACTGAATAAACACAGAATAGGAGCCCTAAGGCTCTTTAAATGCACAATAACAGGGAGACACCGAAAAGCATTAAAAACAAAATTTAGTGGCCATTGTGCCTAAGTAAATTGAAAAGTTTTAGAGTTTCGTTTTATTCTCCACTACCCTTCGGAGAGAAAACTTTCAAGAAGCTGAAAAAGAAAGTGCAGCGTCCCCTCCCCCATCTCTCTGACATGGGTTGCCCACAGATTTCTCCTGAAAGATTCTTTTGTTCCCTACGCCCACCGACTTTTCTGGGTGTTCTTAATGCTGCCCCTACGCAGGCAAGGCCTCCCGCTGCTCTCACAAGCCACCCCTGTCTTTCAGATGCTCGCTCAGGGTGGAACACTTCCAGAAATTTCCCCTCGCCTCTAAAATGGAACTTCCAAATTTAAAACAAGCACACGTCTAATAAAGTTTGTAAGAATTGCAATCGCTCCATCCCTTTTCTTATTTTCCTCCTTTTCGGGGGTTGTAGAGGTCACATCCTTTTTGGGACAAATTTAGTGAATAAAATATTTATAAGGTAATAATGAGTAGGCTTTTTTAGAAAATAGAGCAGTGGACTGAATGTCAGGGGAGGGGTCTGCTTTGTGTTTTGGGGGGTGTTGCTTGACCATTTTGATACTTTATACTCTGTGCAAAATAAGGACGATATATTCTGGTCCTTTTCATCTTTAACATCATGACCCCAACACTTGTTATAAAGACATATAATTATAATTGAAGCTTATTTTTATTCACACTAAGACCACCAGCTGGTAGCCACACTTCATCCCAAATCCTGGATTCTGTTTCATAGACAGGAGAATAATGTTTCCTTATAGTGGTAAGTTGACTTTGGGTAGCAGCACAGCCCAAAGCTTAATTCAGAAAGTAAATGTTGCTAAAAATTATGCTCCTTAAGAAGGAGGAAGTTCATGATGCCCCAAAATTAAAAGAGAAGTAAAATGACCTTGAATTGGCTTTCTTTAAAATTTTGCTATTTGTTTTTAAGATCTTCATCCAACTATTAAGAATATGCAGCCCGGCCGGGCATAGCTCAGCGGTTGAGTGTTGACCTAGGATCCAGGCGATCGGGGTTCGATTCCCGGTCAGGGCAGATGCCCGGGTTGCGGGCTCAATCAATGACTCCCTCGTCATTGATGTTTCTATCTCTCTCTCCCTCTCCCTTCCTCTCTCTGAAATCAATAAAGATATATTTTAATTAATAAATAAAGAAAGAAAATATGCAGAAGCTATTTCATATGTATGTTTTATAATTTAAAAAAATGATTCATGCACATGGTTAAAAAAGTATTTAAAGAATATACAGTCAGAAGTAGTCTTCTCACTCTAGACCCTTAATTTTTCAGTCTGCCTCCTCAGAGAGAAGTATATTGTTTACTGAAAAAAAAAAGCAAAGTGCAGAACAGTGCTTATAATATGCCACCATTTTTATTTTCAAATGTGTGTACAGTAGTGCCCCTTATCTAAGAGGGTTATGTTTCAAGACCCCCAGTGTATGCCTGAAAGTGCAGATGATACCAAACCCTATATATACTGTGTTTTTTCCCATACATACATAACTATGATGAAGTTTAATTTATAAATTAGGCACAGTAAGAGATTAACAACTAATAATAAAATAGAACAATTATAACAGTATACTATAATAAAAGTTATGTGAATGTGGTGTCTCTCAGGACAGCTGAAAAAGGTGCCACTACTTTTGTTGATATATAGGCCTGTCTTCAATCAAAACTGTTTCTAAGACAAAAATAAAAGGATATAAACAGTATGAATTCAGAAACCTTTCAAGAAATTAGTGATTAATCTAGCAGTTAAATAAACTGCCATGACAGTAATTGAACTTAATCACCTTCCTTTTACAAATTAGGAAACTCAGTCCAAAAGAATGGAAGTCAACCCCCTCATGACTGAGCCAGAACTGAGTTTAGTCCAGGTGCCCACTGCTTTAGAGGCACAGGCTTTTCCCTGGGACCACGTGACATGGTATCTCGCCCAAGGATTTACGGACATACACGATCTTTCCTGAACCAAAAACAGGACCTCTCAGAGAAGACTTTTTTCTCTCTTATGTAAGAGTTCAGTGGAGATCTTTTTAATTCAGATTATAAATACATTAAAAAACTTGCAGATTATTTTGAGAACCAAGAAGAAGGGATTTCACTAAATGAAATGAGTGACAGCACATTAACCCACACTCCTTAGACACTAACTGTCTAGGTGGGATAATCAGCATTCTAAAAATTTAAAGATGGGCAGAAGTCTAATACTTAAAGTTAGAATTTATAGATATGATTTTTTAAAAGAGCCCATACATGGAAAACAGTATGGAAGTTCCTCAAAAAATTAAAAATGGAGCTGCCTTTTGACCCAGTGATCCCACTTCCAGGAATGTATCCTAAGAATCCTGAAACACTAATCCGAAAGAATAAATGCACCCCTATGTTCACAGCAGCACAGTTTACAATAGCTAAGATCTGGAAACAGCCCAAGTGCCCATCAGTAGATGAGTGGATAAAAAGCTGTGGGACATTTACACCATGGAATACTACGCAGCTGTAAAGAAGAAGAATCTCGTATCCTTTGGGACAGTATGGATGGACCTGGAGAGTATTATGCTAAGCGAAATAAGCCAGGCAGAGAAAGACAAACATCACATGATCTCGCTTATATGTGGAATTTAAAGAACTTAATAAACTGATGAACAGAATAGATTCAATGACATGGAAGCATAGATGAGACTGAAGAATGTTAGAGGGATGGAGGAGGGTGGATGGGTGGAGGGGGGAGAGATTAACCAAAGAATTTATGTGCATATATGCACAACCCAAGGACATGGACAATGGTGGGGAGAGGGACTGGGGAGGTGTGTGGGATGAGGTGGAATGGGTCATTGGGGAGAAAAAGGAACATCTGTAATATTTTAAACAAAAAATTTTTTAAAAAGATTCAAAAAAAACTTTGCATTCCTGAAATCACTCCACTTGGTCATGGTATATAATTCTTTATATATTATTGAATTTGGTTTGCTAATATTTTGTATTTTTCTTGTGATATCTTTGTCTGACTTTGGTATCAGGGTAACATTGGCCCTGAGAAATCTTTGTGACCTTGGATTAGGCAGCGTTCTTAGCTATGACACCAAAAGCATGATGGGTAAAAGAAAATGAGCGGGGAACTGTTTCTTCCTATTCTGTTTCCTGGATATTTGTAAAATGTTGGTATTCATTCTCTCAATGTTAGGTAGAACTAACTAGCAAAGTCAGCTAGCCTGAAAAAATAAAAAATAAATAAATAAATAAATAAACAATAAAAATAAAAGAGCCCATACAACAACCCCAAAAGTACTACATGTATATGACAACTCCCCACGTGATGCTCTAAAATTTCTTCTAATACATCTTTCTATCTATCTGTCATCTATCATCTGTCGATACACACATGCACACAAGCACATCGTGTGGTGATTAAGATACCTGTGACAGAGATTGCTGCGTATCCAGTATCCATTCTCCCCTTCTCCCCTGGTGACAAAACTCCTAAACTTAGGTTGCATATATGTGCCCAGGGTTAAAGCTTGTTTCCCTTCTCCCTGGCAGATGTCCCTTCCCTAAGGAGACACAGTTGGGTGAGGCTTCTAGGACAGCTATTTTAAAAGAGCTGACTAGCACGCTGGCATGCCCCTTTGCCTACACTCCTATTTTTCCAGCTCCCTGGAATCTGGACATGATGGCTGGACCACAACAGCCATTTTCTGATCATGAGGTGACCCTGAGAATGGAAGCTATGAGATAAGGCTGAGAAAGAAGAAATGATTGAAGGGTCAAGATCCTTAATGACGATGGAGCCACCAATAGAGCCCTGAACTGACTAAATCCGCACTTTATATATGAGAGAAAAATTTGTATCTTTCCTAAGCCTCAATGATTTGGAATTTTTATTATGTAGAGTAGCTGGAATAACATTCCATTGAGCCAGGAATCTTTGCCTGTTATGTTCACTGATATGTCCTAAGGATATAGGCATTCAGGAAATATTGTCATTGAGCGAACGCAACATGATACAAGCCTAAACTCTCACTTTATTTTTTGTAGTACTACAAAGGTTAAACTGAAAAGATTCTTAAGTTTCTTTGCAATGCTAAAGAGAGGTTAATATAATATTGAAGTGAGCAAACACAAAGCAGCTGGATCCTTGGCAAAGAGTAGCGCAGAAGGATTTATAGAATCTAAGCTAAAAATAGCGTGGTTTCTCTCTGGGAAGGACAGAGGCTGGTTTCAGCTGGGTAAACTGTTTATGGTGATTCTGACCACAGAAAAAAATTCCGAGGGGCTCTGAGATAGTAGCCACTCCTTACCCAGCAATACATGACTCTAGCATTGTAAAATATTTCATTCCACTGGCCAGATTTTCTAGAATTAAAACGATTAAACATATAAATAAATCAGTCACATTCCTGTACTGGATTGGGGCACCCTGAAGTGAAGTCCAGGTCTAATTTGTTTGTGTCTCCAGAATCTTAAATAATGCTCAATATATAGTAAACCTTCCATAAATGTTTAACTTGAGTTGAATTGGAAAATTAAAGAACAGGAGACATGAAATATATCTTATCTTCTCCTATCCCTCCTTGCCTTCCCTTCACACCCCTTCCCACACCTAACTTTCCAAGTGGAGTCCAGGCTTGCTAGGGGTGTGGATTGAAGTCAAGTTAAGGACTGTATGAAATTCCATTACAGGTACTAGAAATTTATTCTCTGTGAGTTTTTGAATTGATTACTTGAAGAGTCTGCTTTTAAATGCAATTAGGCTATAGGACAAAGAATACTGAGCTTTTATCTCAATTTGCCCTTTACTTCTCAATTCCATACTACCCCCTCATACACAGGCCTGGGGTTAAGACCAAGACTGAGCCTCTCATCATATCTTGATCTAGATACAGGGTGGATTCCAGAACTGCACATA